TCCAGCATATGTTTTACGCAACGGATACCCTGCCAATAGCAAACCCAGTACTGGGAAACACCCACACACTCATTAAACACATAGACTACAGCCAATTTTCATTCATTCATTCATTCATTTTACTTTGGCTCAGTCTTTATTTCAGAGGTTGCCACAGAGAAATGAACCGCCAACTTTTCCAGCATATGTTTTACACACCGGATGCCCTTCCAGCTGCCACCCAGTACTGGAAAACACCCGTACACTCATTTACACACATACACTATACGGACAATTTGCATTCATTCATTCATTTTTTTTCGGCTTAGTCTTTATTTCAGAGATCGCCACAGCAGAATGATCCACCAACTATTCCAGCATATGTTTTACACAGCAGATGCCCTTCCAGCTGCAACCCAATACTGGAAAACACCCATACACTCATTCAAACAAATACACTAAGGCCAATTTTCATACATTCATTCAAATGTGAAGTCAAAAATAGGGACAGTTATGCCATCAAATGATTCTTGTTCTAAATTTGCCCGATTTGTTTTCTGATTAAATTTTTTTATTGTTATATATTGTTATAAATTGTTATATCTAATGACACTTCACAAAAAATGACTAAATGACAAAATAAACATTTACATTTTAATTGATAATACTTATTTTTTATTATGAATGAAAATACAAAGATCAGTATTTTTATACAATTTCTGTAGGAAAAGCAGTATGTCACCTATACTGATGCTCGTAAACCCTTTTTTGTCTTTGACCCAAGCTTACAAAAAAAAGATAACCAAACAAGGTTGTATAAAATGTTATATCCAAACTTACTTGGGAAAGCAATGTGCAGCAGACAAGACCCAGTTCTCTGAGATGATGGTTCCTCCACAAACATGTTTTGATTTCTCACCCTGCGTGTACACAGAGATCAGTTAGATGGTAAGAGACAAGATCTGACTAAAAATTCAGAACTTATGATATGAATAATTTATGAACAATGGGTTGGCCTGATATACGAATGCAGTCAAGTATCAAATTTACATTTATTTACATTATATTTTAGAGGCAAACATAAATGTCAAAAGAATGAAAATACAAAACGAGCAAATGGAATCAAGACTATAATTTTAAAAGGAAAAAGAAACTGTTTAAAATAAAAGGGATAGTCCACCACAGAAATAGCTTGAAACGTTTGCGAGTTTCAGTTTTCTTTTAAAGACAAATGACGACATTTAGAAGAATGCTGGAAACCTGTAACGTTGACTTCTATAGCATTTGTTTTTCCTACTATGGAAGTGGTTGCAAGTTTTCATCATTCTTCAAAACGTCTTCTTTTGTGTTCATCAGAGCCAAGAAACTCAATGGTTTGAAACCACTTGAGGGTGAGTAAATGTTCCTTTTTGGGTGAACCCTCTTTACGGTATTAAATATGTACATTTATTTTGTATTCACACATGACAGATATATTTTTCTATATTAAAGGTAAAGTTGGTTTTACGTTCACACATTCAGACTTTCTCCTTAATGATACAATTTCATAACAGTATTCTTTGCTAAATCTATATAGTAAAATCATTTTAGTAGCCAATGGCTTTCAAAGTACAACACTGTTCATAGTCATTTAAATAGTGCTAATGTTGTTTTAAAGTCATACTTGCACGTGATTTCAGACCCAATATTCAAAGTAGAGTGATAAACAATATGGAGAGCGTAAAATGAACAAATATAAAACAAACTTAACCTCAACTTTTTCAATAAAGCAATTCGCTTTTTAAATATTTGTGTAAATTATAACCTGCAGTAGATAAGATGTTTTTCGCATTATGTGATAATTAAGCGCACTAAGAATTCTGCCTTTATTTTTTTGTTGATTGTAAAACGAGAGTGAAAAACTAATGATTTGATATTAAATGTATTGCTTTTGAACTGAACTCATGATCTTGTTTTTGTCTCTGCTGTCTGGGCTACTGGAATGTTTGCTCTTTGTAACTGAACCCTGCCTCAGATTTTCACAATTTCAGTTTCATAATGGCTGCCATTCTTACCTGAATATCCACCTGCCACGGCCAAGCACCCTCAGCTGCTGACGAACCTCCAACAATCCTGTTTATCATCGGTGGTCGACCACATTCTGAGACAAAAACAGTGATTCTAGTGACTGGTTTGCTTTACTCTCAATTCAAACACACTCAGGTCCTAAAACACCTTTAATATATCAAACCAAATCTATTTCACAAACACACGCTTTAATGCTTAACTATACACCAAAGTACGTTATTTTAAGTAACATATTAACCTTACAGACCACATATATTGCAGCATTTACAATACCATATGATTTAAGCTGGTATTTTTACCTTTGACAAACATAAATACAGACACAATGCTACGAAGGTGGACATAATCAGTTTCTTACCTTGAGCCTCGCCCACCCATAAGCCTAAACGGCGAAAAACAAAGCAAAGCAAGTTCATTTTATCTTAATGGATTAGTAAGTAGTACACAACTAGTTTTAGATTCTTTCAGAGGAAAAACTAGCTAAAGCCACGTACTTACCATTCAATACGACGAGGACAATCCAACTACATGAGGTGAGCCGCCCCATTCTACCAAGATGTCTTTCTTCCAGAATGTTTTTAAAAGATTAATTTAACAACGTTGAAGGCAAACCTTCAAAACACTAAACTATGTCGAAACTCTAAACTTCCTCATTCGACAAAGCCAAATGAAGAGTGACTAAAAAATGTCGGAAGTTTCGCCTTGGAAAAAAAACGCTTAACCGAGATCATTTTGTTCAGATGATCTGCGTACCTGTCCTCTATGACCAATCAGGAGCGTTGTCTCCGCCCACCGTGAGTGCAGACCCCGCCTGCACAAAAACTTCTGGTTTCTCTGTTTTGTTGCTGAAGAATGTGGAAAGACGAGGTTTATTCGTAGACTAGAGACTGAAGGGATAAGTAAATAATTTATATAATCTCCACAACACGCTGACATTTCAATTATTTAGTTTTGTTTTGTGGTGGGCTTGTTAATAAATCATTATTTTAATGGTTTCCCATAAACCTGTCACTAATTAGGCTACTTCAGTTACAAGTGTGGTAAACGTCATTTAATACTGACGCGTGGGATGTAGGGCCCTTCTGCGTGCATGAAACAGGTAGAACAGGCTCACATGTCAAAGATCTTATCAGCATAAACCAATAAATGTGACATCTATTTATTGATCAAGACTTTGAAATTCTCTGCTGGGCATAATATTTACAATATTAATTTACACTATAGTCAGTGTATGTATTCAAACATGATATTGTCTATCTCACATAGGCCTAATGTTATGCCTGCGTAGATTGCTGCTGCAAAAATAAATGTAACCTGCTAGAATGTTCATTTTGTCTTAGTCCTTTTATTAATCAGGGCTCGACACTCGCCACAGTGGAATGAACAGCCCACTTATCCAGCATATTTTTTACGCAGCAAATGTCCTTCCAGCTGCAACCCATCACTGGGGAACACTCATTCACATTCATACACTTCGGACCTATAGTGCTTGTGCTTGAACTTTGGCGGAAACCGGAGCATCCAGAGGAAACTCATGCACACTTGGGGAGAACATGCAAACTCCACACAGAAATGCCAACTGACCCAGCCGAGAACCAGCAATCTTCTTGCTGTAAGGCAATTGTGCTACCCACTGCACCACTGTAATGCCAGAATGTTAGTTTCTGTTTTTATGAAACTTTTTTTTTAATGAAAGAATTTCCAAAGAGCATAGGTTGATTATCATTAAGATTCTAAGCTGTTTGGTATTTCCCATAGTGACATAATATCAGGGGTGCCCAAACTCAGTCCTGGAGGGCTTGTGTCCTGCAGATTTTAACACCAACTTGCCTAAACACACCTGCATGGATGTTTCTAGAAAGGCTAGGAAGAGCTTGATTAGCCAGCCCAGGTGTGTCTAATTGGGGTTGGAACTAAACTTTGCAGGACAGACCCTCTAGGATTGAGTTTGAGCACCCCTGGTCTATATACAAATAACATACTTTGATTAAATATTATGGTGGCCAAAAAAAAATGCTGATAGCAAAGTGTACAGTAATACAAAAATTCATCCATTCATTTTCTTTTTGAATTAGTCACTTTATTAATCTGGGGTCTCCGCAGCAGAATGAACCGCCAACCTATCCAGCTCATGTTTTACGCAGAGGATGCCCTTCCAGCCGCAACCCAGTACTGGGACACACCCAAACACACTCATTCACACACATACACTACAGCGAATTTAGCCCATTCAATTCACCTATACCAAGTAGGTAGTGCTGTCGCCTCACAGCAAAAAGGCCGTCGCTGGGTCGATCCTCGGCTCAGTTGGCATTTCTGTGTGGAGTTTGCATGTTCTCCCCATGTTCACGATGGTTTCCTCCGGGTGCTCCGGTTTTTCCAACAGTCCAAAGACATGCACTATAGATGAATTGGGTAGGCTAAGCTTTCCGTAGTGTATGTGTGTGTGTGTGAACGTATGTGTGGATGTTTCCCAGAGATGGGTTGCGGCTGGAAGGGTATCCGCTGCGTAAAAACGTGCTGGATAAGTTGGCGGTTCATTCCGCTGTGGCGAAGCCGGATTAATAAAGGGACTAAGCCGACAAGAAATGAATAAAATGAATGAATTCTCCTGTAGCACATGTGTTTGGACTTGTGGGGGAAACCCAGACAAACACTATGAGAGCATGCAAACTCTATACAGAAATGCCAAATAACCCAGCTAGGGCTCGAACCAGTGACCTTCTTGCTGTGAGGCGATCGTGTTGCCCACTGCACCACCGTGACGGCCAGTACAAAAATTGTATTCTAAAAGTATTTAGGTTTTTAAAAAAATAAAACTTAATAAAAACAGGCTGAAGGAAATGTAAATTGATGTCTGAAGAGTTTGTACAGGTCTAACATTTCTGGATTGCATGAAGAATAGTCCACTTATTACGTTTTTCTGTAAACAAAATGTTTGTATTTCAACCATTTTTTGTATAACCAAGCCACCCCAAACACACTTACATACATGCTCTTTAATCTGTTTATAATAAACTTTAGACTGTATATCACGAATATTGTTGGCAATTTGCAAGCCATTTTTATTGGATTTTATCATTTTGTTTGGATAAAGGTATCTAATTAATGCTTTATATGCTGCATCTCGATATACAAAGATGAATGTAAGATTTGTTATGTGCCACAAGAGGGCGCTATGAGGTTTTACACTTTTATTATTTAAAACCACAAAACACTGCGTTTAAAACTATTTTAAAGGGATAGATCACCCAAAAATGATTTATCCTTCTCACCCTTCACGTTCACGTGAACAGAGAACCAAATATTTACAAGATATTTGCAGGACATGGAGATTCAGATTTTTTTCTGAAGCGCAAGGCACTTTAACTGTCCAGAATTCATGAACAACCATCACAAAAAACAAAACAACAACAACAATACAGTCATAGATGCAGTATAAAAAACCAAGGGTTTACACATTGTTTCAGGGGGTTATTTTAAATTTTGTTTTGTGAATTCTAGGTAAACAAATTTTATGTTAAATATGTTACTCTGGACAATACTAAATAAAAAACATGCATGTTATACAGTGTGATTACACTACTGGTTTCTACAGGAGTTTTTTCCTTCACTATCGTCAGTTGGTGAAGTTTGTTCACTGCTGACGTCTCTGGCTTGCTTAGTTTGGGACTTGCAGAGTTGCGTATCGATGGATTTGCTCTTCAGTGTTTGGACTTTCTGAAGTGAAAATTAAACCACACTGAACTAAACTAAACTTCAAGTCTGAAAACTGTATTTACGCAAATTTAATTTACTATAATCTGATGTTAAAATAATAAGCTGCTTTGACACAATCTACATTGTAAAAGCGCTATAGAAATAAAGATGAATTGAATCGAACTACTCAGTTCAATATTAATACTTAGTACTATATTTAGTGGGTCAAAACGCTGATTATGGTTTAAATCTATTAGGGGAATTTTCATTATGTCAGTGTTGTAAATTTGGCGTGAGAACTACATGATCAGAAAGAGTGTGAGTCTGTGAGAAATGCTATTTTGAGAATGACATATTTACTGTGATATAGCCTATATATACACCACGATGTCTGATGTCATGTCTAATAATATGTTTTCTAATATGGACAAAGTCTGCACCTTCATTTCCTGTATTGAGTTTAAATGCCTTTTCTTTTCATAAACTTATCACCTTCAGACTGTAAGGTCTGCTTAATTGTAGACTTCTGAAGGGTTTAGTGCTCGTTTATGCATTGTGTCATATCACTCAGCTCTTTTTATTAAACGTCATTTGTTTATGCAAACGTTGATATTAATTCTGGACTGTTTTTTCTGTGTATTAAAGCTTTAAAAAACAACTTGAAATACTTTTTGTCAGGTAGAATTTAGCACATCATCCGTAACACAACTAAGGAGACAAATAGGTTTCTCGGGTGGATTAAAGATAGCTAGCTAAAATAAACATCTTCAGTTTTATTTAACAAGGCATCGAACTCAATTTACTAAGCTATTTTTTGACAAATTTTGATTATTTTTGTATGTGTGTATTTCAGAGTACATCAGGGGGTTATTTTAATTTTTTGTTTTGTGAACTTTAGGTAAACAAATTTCATGTTAAATATGTTACTCCGGACAATACTAAATAAAAAACATGCCTTTTGTACAGTATGATTACACTACTGGTTTCTCCTGAGGTTTTTTTCCTTCACTTTCGTCAATTGGTGAAGTTTGTTCCTCGCCACTGTCGTCACTAGCTTGGTTTGGGACTTGTGGAGCTGCGCATCGATGGATTTACTCTTCAGCGTTTGAACTTTCAGAAGTGAAAATTCAAACAGTTTTAGACTTTCACCCCATTTCTTCAATTATAAATAACAATTAAATGATTAACTTACTTTAATTGAAGATCAATGCTCATCATAATGATTTTTTCAATGGCTTTACTTTTTCTACTACATTAAGTGGGTCAAAACGCTGATTATGGTTTAAATCTATTAGGTGAATTTTCACTATGTCAGTGTTGTAAATTTAGCGTGAGAACTACATAAGCAGAAAGAGAGTGAGAAATGCTATTTTGAGAATGACATATTCACTGTGATATAGCCTATATATACACCACGATGTCTGATGTCATGTCTAATAATATGTTTTCTAATATGGTCAAATCTGCACCTTCATTTCCTGTATTCAGTTTAAATGCCTTTTCTTTTCATAAACTTATCACCTTCAGACTGTAAGGTCTGCTTAATTGTAGACTTCTAAAGGGTTTAATGCTCGTTTATGCATTGTGTCATATCACTCAGCTCTTTTTATTAAACGTCATTTGTTGATGCAAACGTTGATATTTTTAGATTGGACTGTTTTTTCTGTATATTAAAGCCTAAAAATACAACATGAAATACTTTTGTCAGGTTTCATTTTTGTCAAGTAGGATTTAGCACATCATCTGTAAGGAGAAAATAGGTTTCTCTGGAGAATTAAAGATAGCTAGCTAAAATAAACATCTTCAGTTTTTTTTAACAAGGCATCTAACTCAACTTGTTAAGCTATTTTTTTTTTTGACTTTTTAAAAATTTTGTATGTGTGTATTTCAGAGTACATCATGCTGTGTGTCTGTGTGTGTGGAGAAAGAGAGAGAGAAAGAGAGAGAGAGACTACTAT